AAATTTGGCTTGCCCTGCGGAAGTTCCGGTGATTTGTCTGCTGAGCTCCAAACGTTGGCATAACTCCAAAAAAATCTAGAGACAACTTGCTTTCAAACATTTTTGAGAGTGCAACAATTTCAGAGGTGTATTTTCCGATGCCAGCTGTCAAATTTATGGTGGAATTGATATGGCATTGTCATTGTCACAAGTCGTTCTTGCCAGTATCATAGCATTTGATCGATATATAGTGACAATTTCACCAAAATGGGGTAAGTCAAAATTTCTAATTTTTTATCAAGTATGGGGAATAAAAGCTCCTTGAAATGTGAAACATTTACTATGTTCACTCATGGGAGATGGAAGAGGGAGAGGTGGGGGCGGGGAGGGTGGATCTAAGGGGCAAAGTAGGGCATATGCGCCAACATTCCATTTTTGTTGTCTTCGCTTTGCATCAGTTTGCAATGTGGAAAGGTTTAATCAAAAGTTTGTAAAATTTTTCTTACCCGCCATTATTCTTATTTCGATTATTAAATAGTATAATTATCAATCATTATGTTTTTGTCCACGTCCATAGACGTGCGTGTAGTTGTTTACCCTTCTCCAAAGACTGGACGGATATAGTTTTAATTTCGATATTACTTATCATCTGACGTAAATTGCTTCAGATAGGAATGAGACAAACAAGGGAAAACCTATAGTTGGTGATTCACTCTTAGGAAAGCCCTAGAAAATTAAAAAATCTTGCGGTGATTCCCTCGTTGATGAAGCCTTCCAGAAAATGATCCTCATTTTTTACAAAATCTTTGGTTAATCGTCTGAAAATCAGAGAAACATGCAATCCTTACAAATATCAAAAGTTTGCCGCAAGATGCAAATTGACCCGCCCATTTTAGAAATCAGCCAATCAGGTGTCGCTCACGGTAACCTACAGTAACTGCCATATCTCATTTATTTTCCGTACAGGCTTGTGGTTGCTTACTTTCTTAGCAAAAATCAGACGGATATTCCAATTTAAAGAATAGATACGATGCAAATAGCTTCTGATAGTGAGACAAACAACGGAGAACTTATGAACTTTATGATTCATCTGCATTGGAATCGAAGTTCTCCGTAAATTCTTAAAAAATTAGAAATCTTAGGATTGTGTTAGAATGAGCTAAAAAATCGTCTTTGACCGCTGCAAAATTTTTGTTTTCTCGTCTAGAGAAACGTAAAAACTTTCAATTGCCTACGAATACCAAACTTCGCCGCAAACTGCGAGTTGCCCCGCCCATCTCTGAGACCGACCAATCATGTGTCTTAACGGTAATGCGGCAAAGTGCGAGTTGATCCGCCCCCTTAAAAATCTACCAATCACGTGACACGTAGTGCAGTAACCTAAAGTATCACCATCTTTTCTCATGAGTTCGCTGCTTTTTAGGAAAATGGCGATGTCATGCCAATTACATGAAAGTGATCATTGTCATTCTGGTCGCAGCTGCTGTATGGAGTACAGTACCTGTCATTGGTTACGGTAAATACAGTACATTTCATGCGAATAAATTCTGTTCGCTGGATTGGCGACAGGTAGATTACTTCTCACTCTACGATACCTTTCATACTTTTGCCTTTCCTGAGTTTCAGGGTGATTTTGATGCGAATGTCGCGGAATCCGCTGAAGCAGCGCATCACTATATAGGTTTTCTTACCGCTACGTGTCTGATTTTCTTCTTAATACCAACATGCATAGCATCCTCTTTCTATTATAGTATCATTGACCATGTGGATAGGTTAGTTCTTAGCTTACCTGGTTACTGTAACTGGTTACGGTATCCTTTTATAGGCAAAACTCTACAGAAGTTCGTGAAGAAAATGGAAATGCAGTCACAGATTGCTGCACATGGGCTCCAAAAGATAACGTGGCTAAGGTTACTGTAGCCTCAGAATTCTGCAGAGTACAAATATGCAGAAGATTTTTAGATTGGCCTTGGTTGCCTTTTGGCTTCAACTTTGCCATTCTTGGCATATTCTATAGTATGTTTGAATCCGATGAAGTCTGACTTCAATAATGTTTCTTATGTGGTCGTACCAGTGATAATCAGTCGATTTTGTCCGCTATTGAATCCAGTTTTCTATATTTGGTGAGTATTGGCATGAACTGTGTCGCGAACGGCATTTTTCTACGCCCAAATGTTAGAGACGCAGAGACAGGGTTTTCTGCTTCTCTGCGCTGTGACACTGTATGGTGTGAGAGACGCAGAGACAGGGGTTTTCTGCTTCTCTGGGCTCTGCACCCATAGTTTTTTCTTAAATTGAAGGTTGCTCATTTAGGTGCAATCCCGATATCATACCGATAAATGAATTTCTTGCAAAACGAAGAGTAAAGCGACGACCACCTCCAAAAACTTATCATACCATCAACCTCATCGCCGAAGTACCTGGAATGTCGTTCCCTATTCTGACACCTTCAGGTTGGCGCAATCCATTTTTCCTTTATTTGCGCTTCGTCCATCATTTTTTGGCCTTTCAAACCATATCAAAACGTTTATTAAAGGACTTCTGTGAAGTTGTTTTTGCACCAACCAAGTTCAAATTCACATGAACCTCGTAGTATGTATGTCCATTTCAGTACCGCTTCCACGGCGACAGCTTCCTCAGATTCCACAGAATCTAATCTCTCCAAGCCAGAAGGAGGTCTATTTTGGCGACGCTGAAGAAACGAGTCCAATGCTTACATAA